ACTGCAGTGATTTGAGAGAAAATACAACTGGCATGCAAATATCTGTGTTTAGGGCTGCCTTTCCCAAAATATTAGAATGTACACAGATTAGAAAGAAGCAATTCAGGCTAGATGTGTCATATTTCATCAGAAAGAGTAAAAGACTAGGAAAATTTAAAGTACTTCTAAGCCCTTAAGGTATATATTTTTAAAGCCAGAATACAAAACCGTAGGAATCTTTGAATTTAGAATGGATCTAGATGTACAGTGAAATGCTATTTGTCTTATCTGAATGCTTGGCTAAATGGCTCCATCTAGACAGTTATAAGTTGGCTTGTTTCCTAATCTCTAGCATTGGAATAAAAATAGACACTTTCTGTACTTTCCAGAGCCCTTGGGATGTCAGGATGAGCTAATGTCTGAGGTGGTTATGAAAAAGGTAAAATACATGTAAATTTTAAGCCAGTGTTTTGTAAATAACTGAGTATGGATACTTTGTTTCTTCTATAAGAGCTCACAGTGGCTCTATCAGAAGTAGAAAGTGACATTCACAGGTTATTTACAGTTTATTTTGGTAAAGGCAATTTTTATCCACTGCATAGCACTTGACAAGAAAACTAAAAGCTATCTCTGTCATATGCTGTGTTTTTTGGTTACATATTTTGCATAAATTTATAAATATTTTTGTAAAATATTTTAATATGGTGAGAGAACAAACTAAAGTCTCATTAGTTAAATTTAGTAAGAAAACATTTCTTACAAATCGGTGGTCTCATTTTATCCACTGAAAACAGAAGAGAAGAAGGTATAAAATAGCGATTGGTGTCCATTTAAGGGTGGGAGTTGGGGATAACATTTGTAGCCAGTTTTTATAAATTTATAGGGATGAATATCACTGTTAGATGTGGTCTTCCTAGAGTCAAATGCTGCTTTAACAATTTGTTTTTAGTTGTTTTTCTTTGATTATTAATAACCTCCCTCATTTGGGAGTGTTTGTATTTTATAACCCAGTGTATCAATACCATCTATAATATCAAATTAGGAAAATGTTTGGATCAGATCTTATAAACTTTTATGATGTTCTCTTGAGATATGTTCATGAGAGAAAAACAACGTAATAGCAAACCTACTGATGATATAAAAATGTAAATTCTTCCAGTTGTTATGTGGCTAGGAAACAAGCACTAATGTATTACTATTTCTTCTACTTCTGAGACACTGACTGATATGAATGGAAACTTCTCTATAACCTGGTCATAGCATTTTGAATAGGCATTTAAAAAGTTAAAATTGGTATTTTCTGTATAGAACAGTAACAAATAGACAAAAGTATTTGACTATGCAAAAAATTATTTTATTAAACCATGAAAGTTTTCATAAAATAGATGAATATATAATACATATGATGGGTATATATAATATATTATGAGTGCCATTTTATTTATTTTTTTATTTTTTTAAGATTTTATTTTTTTCCTTTTTCTCACCAAAGCGCCCCGGTACATAGTTGTATATTCTTCATTGTGGGTCCCTCTAGTTGTGGCATGTGGGACGCCGCCTCAGCATGGCTTGATGAGCAGTGCCATGTCCGTGCCCAGGATTCGAACTGATGAAACACTGGGCCGCCTGCAGCGGAGCCCATGAACTTAACCACTCAGCCACGGGGCCGGCCCCATGAGTTCCATTTTAATTAGGATATTTTGAGTTGTTTTTTGTAAGTAGAGCTACTGATTAAATATGAATTATGTATATCCATTTCTCTCTCTCTCTCCACACACACACATATATATATATGTATACACATACATAATATTGTAGGGAAAAAATTCTTCATTTTTTAGCAATCTACTATTAAATGCTCTTTGTTTATTTACTTCTCCATCTACTCATTTTGAGCATTAATTAATCTATTCATTCAACATATATTTATGAAACATAGATGTATGCTCTATAATTTCTCAATTTCTTTCATTTTGATTTTACTGAATCTTTTAATTAAAAACATCTTATCTCCCCATCTATTCATGTCTATATCACTTTCCAAATCACCGATACTTCTGAATTCTAATTAAGATAACATATTGAATTCTCGTATATTTATTCCTGCTGGGTCCTGGCAAATCAGAAGGTTTGTTTTCTTTTGAAGATTCACCTTGAGCTAACATCTGTGCCAATCTTCCTCTACTTTGTATGTGGGACGCCTCCACAGCATGGCTGATGAGTGGAGTAAGGAGTCCACACCAAGGATCTGGACTCATGAACTCTGGGCACCAAAGTGGAGCATGCAGAACTTTAACCACTTGGCCACAGGCTGGCCCCCAAATAAAATATTTTTATGGGTGGTGGGTTGGGGAGATCAAACTCAATACAGAATTTGTATATTTTTTCTGGAGAGAAAAACTCAAGCTATATAGTATTCATCCACTGTGTTACATGGCAGTTTCCTAATGAACCCTACTACTAAATAGTCATTTCACAATTTAATTTAGTACTGATGTCTTTCATGAAAAATATACATTTTAAAATTACATGCATATATGTAGTAATCCCCAAAAGATAGTACCTGTATATTTCATTTTCCATTCTACTTTTTTTTTTTACAGATTTTCGGTAGAAATTTGATTCTTTGTAATGCCCTAAGAACTTCTGCTGACAAATTAGTATGCTATCAAGGTCACTCATTGTAGCCCATTCCTCCACCCCTTTTTCGAAGGCCTGTTATATATCATTTATTTTATAATTAGTGCTGTTGAATGGATTCTTCTTTCAAAAGGCAGTAAATTCCAGACACATTTCTGTTCTGAAAATAGTAGACAGGCTTATTGAGATGACTGTGAAAATATCCATGAAAAATTCAGCTTTTAAATATTGTTGAGGTGCCTCAAATTTTCTAGGAGATGGGTCCAGAAAGGACTGAGAGAATCATGGAATTTAAAAGGTATGATTAATTGAAATTCTAGTAGGAGTCAGCAGGGTTGAGTGTCATTCATCACACTGATTTGATATGTGAGATGTGAGACTTCAAGGTTAGGCAAGGTGAGCTGTGAATTCATGAGAGCAATGCTTTTCTTTATTCTCTTCTGAATGGTGATTGTCAATCCATAGAGTCAAAAGAAAAGAAAAAAAGCCTTTATAGAGGCTACACTCTCTGATACCAAATCCTGTCTTTGGTTCATCTTTTAAATCTATTTGTATTCTTATTATTATTTTATTTAAATGCTTTTGAACTTTATGGCAAGAAAAAACAGGATTAGAGAAAACATTATTTAAATATCTTAAAGTCATGGTAATTCGATAAAAGGATACATGTAAATTTGTTAAATCACACTGCCATACCGTTTATCGAATTGAAAGGAAAACTGATGTGGTTGTTGGTGTCTTGGTAGGTCAAGGAGTAACATAACTCTTTCCACTTGTTTTTGGAAGCACTTGAGGAACAGACATAAGAGTTGAGTCTGGAAATCATATTTGCAAAAATGTGGCTTTGTCTGTAGCAAAGAAGGCCTGTTATTACTTCATGCGTGAATTCAAGCTACCAACAAAGTTACAGGCATTACTAAAAAGCCACTGACCTCCTGTCTGGGGACCTGACTGTATAAAATTTAGGGTAAGGAGGGGCAGAGCATCTGTGCTTCCTGTAGCCAGCTGCCTCTCATAAAGACAAGGGAGAGATGAAGGAGCACTCTGGGCTCCTTCTTTTGAACTCATCAAATACACGCGTGATTCCTCCTCCCTGCAGAAGAGTAAGTAAAGAGGCAAGACAAGACCAGGAATTTTACTGCAGCAAATGTGCCCCTTTGTTATTTTAAAGTCTTGGTGACCTGGAACGAATTCAAGCCCGATAACAATTGAATGGTGTGTTATATTGTGTTAGGTAATTAGCGTCATGGAAGATTATTAAATTAATTTGTCACAAGACATTTAGAATTAACTTCGGTTAATATAATAGGTATAGCAAAGTGGAATTTCAAAAATTTGGAATTTGCGAGCTGATTTTCCTTTACTTTATCTTTTGGGGGAGAATAAAATATTAGCTTTAATAAATCTTAATGTGGAGGGAAAATTTACACAAAGAAAAAAATCCAAACATTTCAGGTGCTATAATTCCACCTAATACTAGTCTCTTTACGTCTTACGACTAGGCTCTATTTCCAAAACAATTGGACTGATGTTTCAAGTGTGTGTTTATTATGAGACACCTATAAGATGAAATGTTCAATGTATTTCTTGCTTGTTTTTATTGTTAAATACCAGAAAAAAGTCTCTGCCCTCAAAGAACTTACCTTTTGGTAGGAAGGGCACATAATAAGCATAAGTACATGTATGAAGTAGTGACAAGTGTTGCGAGTAAAATTAAGTACTGAGTTGTGAGGACCAGAAGCTGGTAGGAGGTGCTATTCTAGGTAGTTGGATGGACAAGTCCTTTCCAAGGTAGAGGCTTAGAGCAAAGACCTAAGTAAAGTCATGTGAATGTCTTTATGGAGGTGATACCAGCTCAACACATGGTTGACATAAGGGAAGCCATATTGTAAAAAGAGAGACTGTTTAGTAACTTTGAATGACTTCGGACTAACTAACCCAGCTGGATATGCATCCTCCAGGAGATCCACCTGCTCTGTAGATTTTATGACCCCTGCTTGTGCATGTACCTCCCAGCTGTGATAAGACGATAGCCTCATTCTTTTGAGTTCCTTAGGAATGTGATGATCCTGGAACAGCGAGTCTATGGTGATGGCCATCATCAATGACAAATGAAAGATCTGGTGTGGTGACTCCTGGGCCAACATTCCCAACCCCTCTCCTATAACCCACCGGCCTATATAAGTGCTTTAAGATTCTGTGACCCCCTTAAGATGGTTCTTTTGGACATTAGTCAGACAACTTCCCTCTTGCTGGCAAGCTGTAATAAAATGCCCTTTCTCTGCCACCATCTTGCCTCTTGACAATTGGCTTCTGTCTCACGGTGAGCAGACTGTGCTCTTTGTGTGGTAACAGAGGAGCATTCTAGACTAAGGGATGAGGAAGTACAGAGGCACCGCGTGAGTGTCGAGCAGGCTGAGTGTGCTCAAAAATCAGCAAAAAGCCTGTGTGGGTGGCATGGAATGAGGAAGAGGAAATGCAGAGGTAATTATGTTAGATAGTAGCCAAGGGCTAGCTCAGCTAGGGCATCGTAAGGACTTTGGACTTTATTTTCCCAGTAGGAAGAAGTTATTAGAAGGTTTTGAACTCTACTGACCTGATTTAAATTTAGCGATATCATTCTGGCTGCTGAATTGAGACTAGAATTTTGGAAGGTATGAGAGGAAGCAGGGAGAAAGTTCATTCATTCCAAATATTTATTTCGTGTCTATTGTATGCCTGCTTTAGGAACTGAAGATACATTAGTGAATAAAAAAGAAAAAGTCCCTGCTTTCATGAAGCTTATGTAGAATAAATATATGATCTATTAAGTGTGATTATGTAGAAAAATAACATATGGTATAGAGATGGAATGTGGTGGTGAAGGTGTGTGGGCTATTTTATATGAAGGATTGGGAGAATGTTCCAAATAAGGTATCTTTTAAGCAAAGACCAGATGGAAATAAAGCTACTTCAAGGAAGGAAGTTTGAGAATGAGGAAGCAGCAAGTGCAAAGGCTCTAAGACGGAGCTGGATTGGAGTAAAGGAAAGTGAAGTGGTTGAATGACATCAGAAGGAGAATGAGGGGAGAGGTGGTGTAGAGTCTATTGGCCATGGATTTTATGTTGAGTGACATGAGAAACTATTGGAGGCTTTTGAACAGAAGAATGACATGTTCTGATTCACATTGAAATGGTAGAGGAGGAAGACTAGGTGGTTGGAAGCAAGGATGTTCTGGAAGATGGAGATTTATGCCAGTCCAACTCACTTCACAAAGCGACTCACTGCCCAGCTGGGAGGTGTATGGTTAACTGACAGCCTTCGTTGTAAGGTTCATCAGGGTTCTGCCTCAGTTTTTTGGTAAGGTCACACTCTTCTCGGAGTGGCCCCAGCCAATCACTGAGCAAGGTGGTGGCCTAAGGGCCTAGCCACTTCCACCCAGTGTGGGACTCCTCTAATGGGGAATCTTTGCTTCAGAGGCCCCTGTTGGGCTAGCAGAGACTTTCTCAAGTCGGCATCACTGTCCAACAGCAAGCTCTGCCCATCCTGCTTTTTTCTTTTCCTTTTCACAAGTGTTATCCCCCAATATACTTTCTGCACATCTAATTCCATCTCAGTGTCTGCTGCCTGGAGAACCCAATCCGAAACACACGGAAAAAAGGACCAGAGGTCCTAATGTTGGAAAATAATTGATGAAAATGGGATTACTAGAAAGAGTGAACCAGTCTTGAAGCCAACAGCAGGTAAAGAGCAGATAAACTCCACATAAAGTCAAAAGTACCATCCAGGGTCATTAGAAACTGTTTCTTTATTTTCTGTGAAATACACTTATTCAATCTCAATGAATAGAAATTCTACTGGAGTCATTTATTATAAGTTTTAATTTGCTTAAGTTGTGGGATTTCTTCTCTGTGTGTTCAAAATATGAAGTGACTCCACTACTTGACTGTTTAGAACTCACTAGTGCTGACGGATATTATCACAATTTTCACTTGTTCTTCCTAATACTTTTTAGTCATCTCCTGAACATGTGCCAATGTGCAAGGTTTTGCTCATTTTGCTTTACCAAATTGTGCTCCGTTTTTGTTTTATTTACCTGCAACTTGCCCTTATATAATGATGCCATTAGAGGAAGAATTGTCAGTGGTGTTTGGAATAAATAACAACTATAATTTGATGCATGGGGAGACTGTTCTCAAAGGTTAAATAATTCATTCCAAGAGTCACATGAGCTGAGATGAAAATAGAAACTCTGTTTTGACTTCTTATTTTGCCTGTTCTTCCCTATTCTTATTTTCCATTCAGTGACTAATTTTTCTCTAGGGAAAAGTTGAACATTTTTTTTTATTGTGAGGAAGATTGGCCCTGAGCTAACATCTCTTGCCAATCTTCCTCTTTTTGCTTGAGGAAGATTGTTGCTGAGCTAACATCTATGCCAATCTTCCTCTATTTTATGTGGGATGCCACCACAGTGTGGCTTCATGAGCAGTGCTGGGTCAGAACCTGTGAACTCCCAGCTGCCACAGTGAACTTAATCACTATGCCACCAGGCCAGCCCCAAAAAGTTGAAATTTGATTTACTAATATGAATGATCAAGATACCATTAGAAATCTAAACTGGGATACAAAACACCTGGTTCTGTTTGACTCTAGGCATAGCTTTTCACATCAGTATATATCTGTGAAACGCTGTAATGTGGCATCGTTGCTGTAGCCTACCATAGTTATCATGAAAGGTTGTTTTAGAATTATTTTTTATGGAAAATTTCATACACACAAGTCCTGATTATATTATAATGAAATCCAATTTACATATCACTTAACTTCAAAAATAGTCAACTCATGGCTATTTCTATCTTTGTGCTTTATAAAAGTAAGACTTTCTTAGTAATAGTAATACTGATAGAAATGTTTTGAAATACAGTAAGGCTAGTGTCAGAAAACCATTTAGGTAGCTATTATGTTAGTCCAAGCGAGGACCTGAATTTAAGTAAATGAGAGATTAGATTTAAAATCTCTGCATGTAAAAGATACAGGATCAACATAATTTGGCCATTGGTTGAATGAGTGATGTTCTAAAGTGTTCTGACAAGGAAATTATTGGTGTCATTTTCTTCTTCAGTTTAAACATCACTGGTGTGCTGCTATACATTCTTGTAGTACTGAAAAACTCCCCTTTGTAATACTTCAAATCATGATTACGTATTCATGTGATTTTCTGATTAAAATGTGTTACAAAATTTTGTAGAATGAAAAAATGAATTTAATTTTTGCCCGATTTCCTGGTTTTTGAAAGGGGAAGCAGAACACATAGAAATGTGTCTGACACAAAATAGAAATTTAATAAGCGTGCTTTTGGAAACAAGTAACTGTATTGTCCAAAAAATACTTTACAAGCAATTCTTTAATTTTTTTTTAAGTTTTACTTACTCCTAGAGATTGGTTGGGTATGTTTGTAGTAAGAATATATTAGAATATTGCATTTGCCAATTATACCTCAAAAAGCAAAAAAAGGGATAATACAAAAGAATAAGACTGTAAAAGTACAAATTAAAGAGTGAAGAGCCCAAAAATAAAAAGAAAATCAAGCAGGTAGACAACCGTCTCCCGTGGTTGGTTTAGTTACGCTTCTGCTCCAAGTCAGAGGGCTGAGCTGGTTTTATTATTCTATGATCCTGTGAGTTAAAGATCTATTTTCATTAAATGCAGGATATATATAATTAGTATTCAGTGACTCAGAAGGTTAACTTACAACAGTATTTGGTTTAACACTTAGATATCAGAAAGAGACAAGATAAACATGGCTTTAGTATCTAAAATTTTTGTTGGAATCCATATTGGCATTTCAAATACAACAAACCATGAAAAGTGACTCTTCTCCTACTCTAACTCCACCGCTTGTAACAACATCGGGGAGGAATCCTGTGCTTTGATGGTCAAAATGTAGTGCCTACATAAATTGAGCTCTTACAGGATCGCATTATGGGAGTTGATGCTTAGAAAAACACATCGGGGTAGATAAAGCGCAACCTTATCTTTTCACCTTAGACATTTCCTAATTGCCATCGTGAGAAAAGCTCTCCCTCCCCATCCTCCCACCCCTACAACTTGAAGAAATGTAGAACCTCCAGTAACATGTTTGATCACCAAACTGCCAAAAATCGGAGTGCAACACTGTTTATATACAAATCTGGTTAGTATACTTTGGAGAGTATCCACCTCTTCGGTTCTACTCTGTCTGAGAACAGCCGGGGCTCTAATGTGAGACTGTTTTATTTTTCAAAAGCTAAACCTCTTCTGGAAGCTGTTCTCTTTTTAATGAAGTGAGCCATCAGGATGGAGAAGAATCTCTTGCTTGTCTTGCAACTAGTATACATGGATAACTGATTTCCTGATGTGATGTACATAACGCACTTGTGAGATCATGTTTTTCTCCAAACTATGAGCAGTGATTTATTTTAGACTTTAAAATGCCATCTGTATTGTCTTTCTCTTAATTTAATTTAAATTTTAATTTAATTTAAGTTGTGTTAAGATTTTATGAGAGTCCTTTTCCTCTGGACACTCTGCTCCCTCTGATTTGGTTATTTTGTGTGCTTTTTGGCATCCAGGGAAAGGCAACTTGGGTGAATCATGAAAGGAATCCTTTTAGGTTAGCAGTTTCACCCAGTGTAGAATCCTTTTCCAATTCCAAGAAATTAAAAACTCTAAGATTTCCTATATCTTAAAAACTTTTCAAAAGTCGTAAGAATAATGACCACATAGCAATGTGATTCTGCTTTTATATTTGCAAACATTAACAAAAAGAGCCATATAATGACAGACTTTCAGTTTGGTTAAATATACTATTTTAATTAAGAAACTGGAGCTCTGGGAGAGACACAAGCTTTTATTTATTCACTCCTTTATTATTTAATTTAATAAGTATTTGTTATCTATACGTATGTCCCTATGTAAAGAAGCTAAAACTTAAAGTATGGATAAAATTTATTCATACTTTATGCCCTGCGTATACCATAATTAAGTATAAATGTGATTGAGTGTCATAACAATCAAGGATTTGTTTTGGGGCTTAAAAGAGAATCCCTAAAAACTGGAAGCCAATTGACTTTATGAAGCACTGTGTCAATAAAGTTTCTGTGATGATTTGATAAGAAAAGCAATGAGTACCATAAGCACACTGGACTCAAAAAAACCTGTGACAGTACCATATTCAGCTTTTCAGCAGCTGTCTTATCACATTCTATTTCTGTATAGTTTCATTACCTAAAGAAGTGATTGACATTCAATAAATGTTTGTTAAATGAGTGAATGAAGCAGTAAATTACCATTGTCAACCATAAATCCTCATCAGAAAAATTTTCATTAGATGGTATTTGTATTTTGGATAGATCTCTTGCCCAAAATTAAAGAATCAAGTTGACAGGCAACCAATTAATGTCTTAAATACACCTTTCTACTTTAAAATTCAAAATTGGGGATGTAGTGTCAGGAATTTAACTTGA